ATAGTTACATTTACTTTAACAGAATAAGTAGATAATACGAAAATGATAGAAAAATATTGATTAATTTAACATAACCTTTCAAATATCCGGAATAAATAATATCAGTTTTTCTTTATAATGCATTTCCATTCATCGCTTTACAAAATATCAAAACTAATTTGTTAAAAACTTTTAAGTAAAAATGGATAGCAGCTAGCAGTGGAATCCTGTTTGGGACTCGTCATCTGGATGTACCTGGATCTCAGAGTTGATGTGCACTTTGGGACTCGAATCTAGTATTGTTCGCTTCAAACACTATCGCATTATCCACTTAACTACTGAACCCTGATACCCACTAGCTTGTGCAATGAGGTGAAATTCCAATCCAGTTGTGCATTGTTTGTTTGAATCTTTACATTGATTTTTAGTACTGCAATTGATCAGTCTCTTATTGTAATATGTGCAAATTGTGCTCAGAAAGCTTGTGAATTAAAGCTATATCGAGGCAATCAACATAGTATGCAAATATGCCAATAAGAGACTAATCATTTGCAATCCTAAACATCAATGGGATGATTCAAGTAAACAATACCAAGTGACGTAAAAACCTTAGCCTATAGGTATTTTCAAAGTGACTATATGATTAGAATGAATAAACTATGTAATTAGATTAACTGAATTTCATGATGTTAGGTGTAACAGTTTTCTTTTGTTTTTAAACAAAAGCATATTGAATAAGGAAGTAGGTGAAAATTCTAAAACTGGCTAAATGAAATTATTTACTGATTTATATTTTAGTATTATATTTGTTATTAATAAAAATTGATGTCATTGAAATACGTTGTATTTTCAGTTCCAAATTACAGAAATGGAAACTTATTATTAATGCTAAAAACAAAATAATCAAGTTTATTACATTCCTTGTTTATATTTAAATATGTATATGTATACTTGTTTCCCCTATTCATTTTCAACTTATTTAATTGTTTATACATAAGACGAGCTATTTAGATACAGATTTTTACTTCAAATTTGCCGGAAGCATATTCCATTTAAACCGTGATTTTTCAATGAACCTTGTATGATAAGAGAGTGGACTTTGGTAATTGTAAATTCGCATGTGTATGAATATAAAACGACATAGTATACAACACTGTAGATGTTCGATCGATCTGATCAGCCTAGCGTCCTTATTGGTCCTTTGCTCACTTAGCCCGTCTAGTTGAGTCCAGAACACCAACAATAACTTCCGCTATGCGAATCAGTTATTTCATGCGTACTTAGTTTATATACCAGGCAAAGAGGCCGCATCGCAGCATAAAATAGGAAATAACATTTATACAAAGTAAAGCCAAAAGTGGCTGTGAAGATAGGAGACGGTAATCAGATAACTGAGTATAACTTAAGAACAGTAAATCGTACAATAATAATCTATAGGTCAAAATGAAGCTTATAATAAGAGAAATAAAGATTTGCACAGTCTATTTACTGAATAGTTACACAGTAACAATATATATATATAATATTAGTTTAATAATAGTTCTCGGAAGTTACTCGCAATTTAATCTTCACTAGGATATAACAACACCCATCAACTAAGATTATTGGTTTTACACCATTTTTTATAATGTACAGTTGTCATGAATACTTACACATAATAGCTATCTCACATTCGACATGGTTGATATTAACCGATGGCAGTAGCTCATAACGTTTTCTTAACCTGGAATTTATTTTTTCCAGATGATAGTCAACTGTTAACAGATGATTAGTAGTGTTAGCTCTGTAGAGATTGCTTATACTAGGAAGAAACATATGTTACATTCAGTGTAGTTTTTAATAGATTGAGCAATGAAAGTCAACCCGAGAATTAAGTAAATTTAAAGTAATATTTTATTTATAAAAAGAGTGTTAGAGGAAGAATTAATAGGGACTAGTAGTGGAATCGTCCTATTTGGGACTCGTCAGTTGGATGTACCTGCAGCTCAGAGTTGATATTCACTCCAGTACTAGTGCACGGTACCGTTCGTTTTAAACACTATCGCGTTTTCCTCTTAGCCACTTGCTTGTGTAATGAGGTGAAGTTTAAATTCACTTGTTGTTTTACTTGCATATTCCCATTGTTATTTAGGACTGCAGTTGATCAGTCTCTTATTGTCATATGTGCATTCCGTGCTGATTACCTCGGTATAGCCTTAAAACACAAGCTTTTTAAACAAAGATGGATAGTGGCTAGCAGTGGAATCGAGGACCCGAGTTTCGTCCTAGTCGAGACTCGTCAGGTAGATGTACCTGCAATGGGAAGAAACAAGTAAAATAACACCAAGTGAAGTGTTACAAGAAGTTTCAATAAGTTCTCATGATCATTTCAAATGGAACGAGCATTTGTGTTTCCTTTCTTACTAAATATTAGAGGAATTAAATTCAGGTCATTTTCTTTTGTTGTTTAACATTTAAATAAACTATTCTGAGATAATTCATCTCTGCAGCCTATATATATATATATATATATATATATATATATATATATATATATATATATATATATATATATAAACCAGATTTTTCAATACTACTAATAATTTGTTTTGTAAGTTTATATTAAACAACTTACATCACTTATCATATCTACTATAATTTATTCATTTCAAATCATTACTATTAGTGATTCATTGATAGAAATTGATCTATTTGGTATTTAATCCCTTGTTGTATTCACGATGAATTAAAAGATTATCAGTTTTAGTTTATTAATTAAATGTTGAAAAAAGTGTCCTTGTTATACGTATATGTATATTACACATATACGTTACTGAAGTTGATTTTGATCTAAAGGTAAAACTATACAGAAATAGTTTAACTAGTATTTATATCGACTGAACTAAATTGTATCGTATTAGACTTAGTTTAGGTTAATTAACTATAAACATTTTAATGAAATCGTTATACTTAACGGTTAGATAGGAAAAAATATCTTAACATTCTAATGATTAGTTGATTAACTTTGCTTTAATAGAAGAAAGAAAGAATTACTGAAAGATTTGATGATAAATTTTCATAACCAATTTAACATTCTTCTGAAGTAACATTTTTAAACGACTATACATTAATTCAGGGTATTGATGATATGATGGTTGTTACTAGATTGGAAGATTCTAAACCTAACAATTAATGAGATTGAGAAGACATCTTACTGACTTAATTTAAACTTCAATACAAAAGCTGTCTTGAAGAGTTATTCAAATACAATGTCAATTTAATTGGTTAATTATTTTGTGAATAATGATAAAACGGTTTGATCGTAAAAATATGAAGTAACTGAATGTATAACAGATAATCCCTATTTGGATTGATGTTACTATGACCATGCATCGAACCAATCTATTAACTCAAGGTAGATTTGAATTGTACTTTGAAATAACTATAAATCAACACATAGGTAATAATCAAAGACTATTCCATTCACTCAATGAGTTCTATCGATAAAGATTGATAAAACTACAAATTTCAAAGTCCTTATCAGCAGCTCTTAAACATTGGACCATTGTTCAAACATGTAGTTAAAATTACAATAAGGTTTTGTTATAAATTATTGAGATAATACCGTAAGTTGCAAAAACATATTTATGAACAATGTCGTCAGATGGGAACTAACTTTAACTAAATCAAGGAGAATAATTCACTGAATAGCTGAAATATTATGTTCCATGGTGTTGTTGTATTAAGTGGAAAGTTTCAGGATAAGAAGATTAGTCTCAGTATTTTAATATGAATAAATTGTAACATTATTCTAGCAAAACAATGACTGAAATCCAAACTATATTACAACAATGTTTAACATCATTGTTATTTTTTGTAATTACCCTGATGTCATCAGAGACATTTTGTAGTTGAGATTCTTAAGAAACTTCAGATTTTTATTCTACCATATATACCTTTAAATAAGAGGAAGTTATTTCAAGATTAAATGACGAGAACAGTACACTGTTTGGAAGTGTTCAACGTCTCTACTGTCTCATGAAGGTGTACCACAAGGAGCTGTTCTTTCACCTCTTCTTTTCTCTTTTTCTGCATGATCATGGAGTTTCTATCTCTTTATATCTCTTAGAAATGAATGTGTCTTTGTCTCGTATTGAATGTTGGTCTGTTGTTAATGGTCTCATAGTTAATTCGTCTAAATGTCAAGCTGTTAACTTTAGCATGAGACATGAACAGCATCTAAACGCCATTTTGAGATCACATTGCAGACTATTTGATAAACACAGTGACGAGGGTCAATTACGTTGGTGTTACCCGTTCCTCTGATCTCTCTTGGTTTTCTCATGTTTTACTGTTATATAAGAAAGTTTTCCATCTGACTTAGTACATAAAGAGATTGCATACTATTGGGATTACTCGACATTTACTCTTACAATTTGTCAATTCCTGCATATTACCTATTATTCTTCACTGTTCTCCATTATTCTTGCCGGAGCTTCTGAGAAAAAAACTTTGCTGTATTATGGAGAGTGCTGAAGGTAGTTAACAAGATGTGTGGTGAATCTTTAAAGGCCATCATTAATATGGTTGTGGATAGACATTTAAAGTCTTTCAAACTCATGGCAGATGTTATCTTATCACATACTAACCATCCTCTTCATTCATATCTTTCTCCTCGTATATCTTCTGATAAAACGAGACGTAAATACATTAAACCCCATTCACGCAAACAAAAATATAAAAGTTCTATAATACCTTATCTAGTAAATATACTCTGTGACGAACAGATTGTTAGGGTTAACCTAATCAATAACCTACATTCTTAAACATATTTCTAATTTGAAAAGTACAGAATCAGATATTTTTTCATATTTTTCCTTTGTTCTCGTAAAGGATATTTGTAGAAATACCTCGTACTGAGGCTTCTATAATACACCAAAATATAATATTGAATGAATAAAGCCATCAATAATGATAATAATAATAATAATTGATCAAGTATAATAAAACGTACATAAAAGAAATGTCATCAGACAAATTGATTCAGTTAATAATACTTTATTCTCAAACTTAAAAAAACATATCTCTTCCAAATTGATTATTTCATTTCGTTTAATTGATATGTTACATAATTATTATTTCACTTATTATGATCATTATGATTGAAGATCTTTATTATCATCATTATTATTGTTTTGTAATAGTTCATCTAAAATATCTTCCAAATATACGGATACATTATCAGTTAAATCATTTAAAAATACTTCAGCTAATTCTTTTGCAGAGATTTCACTTAAAATTGAATTTTGTCGATTTACTTGTTCTCCATAGTTTGGTTCAGATATCTAAATACAAAATAAATTATGTAAGATATTTATAGTTGATTGATTAGTTCCACAGAATACATAGAAAAAAGCATCCAGAATCGTTTTTAACAAGTCTAGTCCTTTTTTCAAAAAAATCTTAGAAGCCAACTCACCAAGCTTTACTGTTGTAGCTTTAAGAAAATGCCAAATTTATCACAGATTTAAGAGCTTTTTAAGCAAAGTTGATTCTAAAGGTTCCCTATACATTTATAGAAATACTTTTCGTCTTTTGTGAATGAACTAAACGTGGACGTAAAGCTTCTATCCATCTTTTTTACATTCTAGTTTCTTTAAGGTTTAAATGTTAATCATAAACCTACATTGAGTTTCCAAATGACTTTGAAATTGTGACCCGTTTTATTTAATCAGAAAGTAATAACCACGAACTAATAAATGAAGTTCAAAATCACAGAATTTTCAGAGGATATCTTTGCATCGTTTATCCTAATATTCAAACTCTAAAACCTAATCATTGAGCTCCACACCATAGGTATAAGAGTGTCAATCCTGAAGTTTGAATCATAGTCTTAAACTTACCTTCATTTACCCAGTAACGTGTATCTTAATAAAAATAACCATAATAGTGTTGAAACCCAATATCTCAATTCAGTTTGGTTTGAAAGACGTCAAGCTAGATTGATGTGCGATCTATGACCTTCAAATGACTTTTTTGTTTCTGATTATTTCGACAGTATACTTTCGATTTACCTATCGAACGTTTTATGGACATACAAATAGGCTGGGAAGTCAGGATCTTAAGCGGTCCGGGCATAATATATATATATACCTTCATCGTCCTCATATTAAGAGAAATATAGCATATAAGAATACCACTGTTCGTATACAAATTCGGTATATTCACAATAAAGCACTGGAAAGCAGAGTATTATTTATTTCTATTTTAAGATTGACTGTATTAAATGTATTAACCCAATAATACATAATTTTCTTGCGTTGATCTACATTTTTCCGAAACGTGTTCATGCCATCAACTTCAAACTGTTCGGAGTCTAACCGATTATCCAGAAAAGATATCCAGGTCATTTCCAAATCATTTTAATCGACTATGCACAGCAACCTGTGACAACCTTTAGATTTTTAATTAAAAAATAAAACTCAAAAATCGTCATTTTCACATTCATTAATTGATTATATAAATTATCATAACATAAATTCTCGGGAGAAATATTCGAATTTGTTTACACCATAGGTAACTAGTACTATATTGGTAGCCATCAATAGGAACTAGAACCGAGTACTGTTAGCTTCAAATGCCACTGCATTCCACACAGAATTCACATATACCAATATGAGACTGATCAATCGCAATCCTAAACATCACTGAGAAGATTCAAATAACCAATACAAAAAATAACTCAGTTACCTGATATCACAAGTTCCATACCACTTAGGCTGAACAAAGTCAATCAGTGCGGAGGCTTATATAAACAGAAATCTGACCAAATATTCTAACATTTTTAACTCATTTCATTTATGTGAATCAATAGTTTTACATTGAACCATAAACTCGAGTATTCAAATCGTAACTAAGCAAAAGGTTAATCATGTCTTATCGATCTGTATGTTTAATGAAGCGGTTCAACTTGAATAATTTATTAGGTATTATGACCTTTATCTATGATATCGTATTTTTCAATTTTGTGTGAACAAATATTAAATTTATATGCGTCTCATTGGTAATATCATTATCCACAAATAACTTATTAGTATGTATATTGACAATGGACCTAGATAAAATAATTCACTTACATTACTTTTCATTTCCTCTCCAATCAAAGTAACTTGTTGATTTTGTTCTAGTATTTCCAAAAACTTTGAACTTTTCTCCTCACTTCCTTCAATAACCTATTGTTGATGTATTATCGGTTGTTTTATTTTAAATCGATTAAAGAAATTCATTAACAATAGGGAACATTTAGCGCTAGCAATTAATGTAAATCAATAAACAATTTGTACGATTACGTAATGTGAATTGTTTTATTTGGTAAGTACATCATACCTGAGAAATATTATATATACACATATTGTAATGGTTATTGCATATGATTTGAACGTTAATTCAAGTTAACATTTTGTATCCTTTGAAAACTTTTATCTAAAATATACCTAAGCGTTTAAGTGTTTTATATTTCTGAGTTATCAGAGGTATGACTTCTACAGATCGAAGGGAACGGAATTTTTTAAAGTGAATATCCTTTAGTGGATTCCGAAAGAAGCTTTGAGTTAACATTTATTATTTCATTTGTATTTTGTAATGCTTCTTCTGATATTCACTTAGGAACACATTAAATCAAGTTTATTTGTTGGGAATACAAGTTACTTGGAGTCTGATTATACCGTTAAGGTGTTTCCATAAGTTAATATAAAATTTACTAATAGAATGTGTATTGTCAGTTATTATGGCAAGCCCATATACCTTATTCTAACTTCCGGACATACTATTTTATTCATTTTACTTGAGCCATATTTTGACCTTGTCAATTATTCGCTTATTAGCCTTGACTATTTTCACATGAGCGTATATGTGTGTACACTTCATGTTCCATGACTCATTGTATGTCTGTAGCTTATTTTGTCTGCCTATAAATAATGAGTAACGCTTAATTAAAATGGAGTTGGCTTCACAGCCATCCTCCCTGTGCGTCATTTTGCTTGGCTCTGTTTCATTCACTTCATATACAAAATATATGTAATCAAATGCCATTCTCGTTAATTGACTTATTTAATTCCGTTATGGACTAACGCGATCTAAGTCGACGATGATATACGAGAATAGGTGATAACAATCATTCGTAAACACTAAATGGAGTCAGATCAACGGGTCCCATCAAATGCTTTCATTTGAATAGTTAGTCACGTTTAACTAATCTTAATATATAACAGCTGGATTATTGTGTATTATCACATTTTATATATCGTCTAGTAGATTATTTCGAAATTTATCAAAGGGACTAATTGTTTTAAATTTCTGAATAGTAGATTATTCCTACATGGTTAAAAATGGGAATTGAAATTCTTATCTCTTTATCATATTTACAAAAATATGCAGAGTATCTTCTTCCTACTGTTCCAGAAATGAACGGTGAGTAATAGGTAACCTTTTTTTATATTTACATGTAAAGAAAGATCACAATCATTTATACTTTAAGTCCAAACTACTGAATTTTGTTGTCATCAAAATTATAGCAACTATAAAACCTTCTCACCCCATGAACCATTTCTTGTGATATCTTACGTAGTATTGGTCGAACTTCATCTAAGCTAATCGATTCATCTCGAACATTTTCAGCAAGGGTTTGAATTCTTCTTATTGGTTCAAAATCAATGCTACTTTCTGTTTGACCTGTAATTTCGGATTTAGTTGATGAAATTACTTTTTCTTGAGCTAATTAAACAACAAAAGTTATTCAAAATAAGAAAGCTTTATTTTGTATTATCATCAAACAAACAAAAATAGATTTTTTGAGTAAAGTTACTCTCAAAGAGACAGAATTTGCTACAAATTCATATTCTTTGATGACAATAATAATAATAACAATCGTTTGATCGCTGATGGTCAGCATAGTGATTCATTTTGTAAACTTCCAATAGGAAGCTGAAATTAATGGGATCAACGAAGTCGATAGAGAGAGAAAAACCTGGTGATGACATTGAATAATAGATGTGATTTTAATGTAAATAAACTGAATTTGAAGATGTAAATGGTTAAATTCTTTATCAGTAGTCTTGGTATATCAGATTAAAACCAGAACATTATGCGTTTTGTGACGTGCAAGATCGTCATTCCAACATGAAATCTAGTCTTAATAAAACTAGTTTAGGCATAAATGTACACAAGCTAATCATCCTACACAACAACACAGCAACATAAAATTATCAATAATGTGAATATAAGAGTTAAATTAGACCCATTATTGGCGACTACAAGCTTGCCATGGGGATTATACGTCAAAAAGAAAAATATTAAGTAGAACGTAGACTGTAAATTTAGAGTAACTCAATGAATGAATGCATTTGCAACGCCCAAGGGTTTAATGAATAATGTCACCGAAGAAATAATTGAAACCTCAAGATAACATTAGTTTAAATCTCTCCAGTTTTTGATGCTTTTTAATAATTGCTAACTGTATAGAGAATAATATGAAATAAACACAAACTGACGACTATGTGAGTATATCGTCTCGGAAAATTTGAAATCAAGTAAAGGGAAGATTTTCTACCGTTGATTTCTATGAGTATTAATTCAGCTAGTTCCTTGTGGAACTCAATAGTATATAGAAATCAGCCTCCTATAATTTGTTCAGGCTGACGTTAACCTCAACTAGCTATTATGAAAATATCAGTTTTGTGCAATTTAATATAACCCGATAAAAAACATAAATACGATAAACGTGAGGGCTTAGAACAGAAAATTTGATAAAAATCACACTCTAATATCTAGGGCTGACATACTACATGAATTGAAAAATAACTGAAAGTTCGGTGCGCTACATATTAAATGAATATTAAAAACACTGTGAACAACAATAGATGTTTCTTTGCCAAGAATATTCAATATTTATCTTGTACTACTGTAATTATTTTGAGTAGTTTATTTGGCCAAATAGTATTTTATCATTTGTTATTTTTAGGAATGGTTTTATATAATATTATATTTTTGGTATAATACAGAATTCTCAGAACAAAGTATTTCAACAAGTTTCCTTTTTTTATTTCTTGCTCGATCTCGAAGACAAATATTGAGCGATCTCCAGTTAGATGTGAAAAATTCAGGAATCGACATCTGAATAATGTTCATTCTTTTCAGTGCATATTGCCACCCACCACAATGTCTTTTTGTAGTACTTTTTTATTATATGGGCAGCAAAAGGTCGTAAACTTTCATAAACGCGCCTGAATAGATTATGCGATCAATGAACATAATGATGTGTCAAAACAAACAAAATCAGATAAATTGTTGAAATATCTTGATGGCATGAACAGGTAACCCAGATATTCAAGCAGTCCAATGGTATTTCATTGCATAAACGTTTTAACCTTGGATAATATATTCTAGAATTGTCCCTCAATCAAATTTACTTCTTCCTCCAATAACATGTATTTTTGTTTCAGAGCATACATATGCACTTTATTTCAGTTGTTTTTTCTTATATGATTAAGAAATAACACTGGTATGTTGTAACTAGTAAGATTTTAGTTTCAAGTTAGTCATTTCATAGAAAATACATCATAAAATCAACTATATTCTATTTGCTTGGCTGTTCAGCAAAGTTCATTTTAAATAATGAATCTAGTTTTTAATAAGTAGTATGTTAAAATTAATTAGATGTTATTAGATTGTTAGAATTTTCAGATTAACAACAAAAAACTGACCTGAAAGCAAAGATAATTAGACTGACCATAATTTATAAAATTAATGACTTAGAATTTCAATGACTTTGAAGATTGTACTAAATAAAAACAAGCACATGATTGGGTTGTAGAAAATGATCACTTGTGACGATTGGGAAATTATTTTCAGTTTTTTCATGCTTGTAGTGGTTGGTTCTATGTCGAGCCCACATAGCTTATTCTAGCTTCTGGATAAACCAGCTTATCCATTCTCCTCAAGCTACATTGTGACCTTAGTAAGTATTCGCTTATCCGCCTTGATTGTTTTTATATGAGCATATATGTGCGCATTTCTTACCTTACTCATCACATGCCTGTAAATTATTTTTATCTGACTATAAATATCGGTTAACGCCTGGTTAAATCGAGTTGGCTCACATGATCTCTCCACTACGTGTAGTTCCATTTCGCTTCGCCCTCTTTTCTCCCACCTTCGCTACGTCTCTCTGATGGGCTGTTCCGATCAACGATTACACAAAATATACGTATTCGAGATCTATCCTCGTATCTGACTTATTTAATTCCGTTATTCACCAACGCGATTTAAGTCGATGATTATGTACGAGAATCGGCGATATGTATATCTCAATAACAATCAGTCATGTGATCTAACTGGCGTCAGATCTCGGGCCACTAAAAATTAATAACAAATGTGCTAATGGTTTACTCTTTTTGATAAAGTTTCGATCTATCGACATTTCCCCTTTGTAATAATATTAGTTGTTAGTAAAACTTAACTGTTTGGACTGTTCATAGAAAAGTACTTGTTATTCCTACAAATATTTACGTTCAGTCATTGTACATTAATTAATAATATCAAGGTGTTTAAACGTTCGATGGGAAACGTTTGGTAATGAATTTATCATGAGTCGGTAAGATGTAATCTAATATAGATTGTGTCAATTACATTATTTAGTTTTCCGAGAAGCACCAATGTCAGACATATATTATTATTTTATTAGTCTGTGTTGTATGTAGTCACCACAAAATTTTTGGAATATCTAGGCAATATACTGTTCCAACTGAAAATCGCTTATTCATTTTTTCGAACTGTAATGGTAATGACCTGTCTCTTCTTAAAAACGTTTATTCTTCCATCTTACAGAATATTACATCAAGCTTATCTAATGAATTTTCGAACCAAAACGTTAAGGATATAGTGAAATAAAGTAATACTTATAAGTTGGTCGTATAATTACACTGCATAGTTGTCATGCTGAAATCTAAATAGCATGATGTTGGACTCGTGTTTCTTCTTACTTAGGACTCTTTGGTTAAAATAAAAATACAAGCAATTCAAAGCACCCATAACAATGAGTTAACTCTGTTCTAATAAATAAATATATTTGTAGTACAGGAACCATAAAATGCACATGATTTTAGAAATAACTTACACTAACAATGGTTATCTGCTCACCAATTATGAATTTCGAGAAGTAATCCCATGAGTTCTATTGAAATGTCGTTACCAGTGGAGATCAGCCATGTCAGGTGTAAGACCATTACTCAACAATGTCATTAAAAAATGTTAGCTCATTAACCCGAATTCATTGACGTTTGACACGTAAACCATTGGATACCAGCTCAGTGTTCTAAGGGACGGTCCTTACAGTAAGACACGAAGGTCCTAGTTTCTGTACCCTGTAGGTTCAGGGATTCTCATTGACGTGGAATTTAACACTAGAGTAAAATATCTCTGTGATGTTCCCTGGTTTTCAGTGGTACCCCATTTGAGATCAGTTTGGTTTTTAACTATTGTTTGACTTAGATTAATTCATGTTATAAACTATAAAACTCAATAACATCCACTAAAATCTTTGCACTAATGCTATATCAATTTTTTATAATAAAAATTATTCAACTGCATAATTTATGAATCAATGAAATGATTCATAAAATAAATATATCAGTATGGGGTTGTGCAGATTGTTAGATTTTTGATTGAGATCATGAATGGATCAATGTTAGATCACCATTGAAAACCTGGAAGAACTGGACGGTCACTTCGTTCCAGTATATGACTCCTCAGCAGTGCGCATCCATAATCCCAGACGCGTAATTCAAACCCAAGACCTTCGGTCTCACACGCGAATACTTAATAATTAGAACATAGTTGTCTAGTTTTTCCTGGTTTTTAATAGTGGTCTAGGATTGATCGATTCATGATCTCAATCAAAAATCAATATATGGTTGATTGTTTAGAGAAATACCAATATCTATAAACACCGATCGTAATAGTTTGTAAGTATTAGTGAATAAATTCCTGGTTGGTCATCAAAGTGAGTAAAATGGTTCGTGATTCAGTTACATGAATAACAATTTAGAAGTTAATAAGGCGACTGTTATTTACAATTACTTCATACATGCTCCTATGTAAGCATATTTAATGATGAAAACAGTGTTTAACAGAAAGATCAAATCTAATTTCGTGTGATTACAGCTTTGACTAAGCTCACACCTGACATCCTATTACACTCACAACCATAATCCATTGAAATAATAATCAATTAATACATGAGCTAAATATTTCACAATAACTGATTCTTCAAGAGTCATCAGTGTTTTGTCAGTATTTGAGGTTATTTTGCTATTAACCACATAAAATAAGTTTTTGTTAAATTAAATATTTCATGTGAACGAATAAGATTCGTCAACTTAAAAACGTTACTGTTTAACAGTTCAGTCCCTCTGCAAACATGCAATAAATTACTTGATAATATAAGAATATGACACAACAAACCAACTATTAAAACATTCCAAAGTTCATACCACTTTGTGGTTTATAGGTGTAACCTATTCTTCCAGAGCTTCTCCTTACTGATTTCGGTCTCCACCAAGTATGTTTTACATTTTGTATGTGTAACTGACGTCTTTGTTTAATTCCAGCCTAACAATAAATAAAAAAACAACAAAATAAATAAATTCGTATACTTTTGTATTTAAGACTTATTAGACAAAGCTTTACGTCTGTTACTAATTCCTATTTTTAACTTTAGTCAATCGTTTAAATCACATAGTTCTTACTTAATTCTTACTTATTTAAAGCAAACGATACTCAGTTTGAGTCCCGAAGTGAAAATAAACTCTGAGATGCAAGTACACCCATCTGACGAGTCCTAGATAAGATAAAAAAGTGTTGTGGACTTTACTGATAACTATCATATAACTCTGGTTATAATGTTTATGACTTAAGGCGATGTCGAGGCTATTCATAAAGGATGCGTATTTGTCAAAATATGATTGATCAAGATTGAAACAACTAGTAAAAATGAACTGATCAAATATACATATTTATAAACCAAACATCAATCATTTATATTACTTCTACATATCATGCGAAATTGATTTTCTACCGTTAAAAGTAGTGCTTGCCCTCAAATGCCCTGGTACGGCCAAGAGTGGGGAGAGTCCGCTCTCCCTCTCGAAATGCTCTCACATGGCCAAGCGTATAAAGCCCCTGCCAGGGAAGTCCTACTCACTGCCTTCTCGTGGCGGGGGTGTTGTTTACGAAAATGGGAGGACGAAAAGCGAATGTCCGTCGCTTTAACCGGATTCCAAACCAATGATGCACATGGGCTCCAGTATCCTGCAGGAACAAATGGCTTAGGAACCAATCGTTGGTCACCGGCTACCGTGGGAATGCATCTCCTTACGATGCTCCACTACCTTGTGGATCAGACCTTCAGTTCAAAGGCTCGGGGAGTGGCCCCCTAAGGAAACCACCTGCTTCGGTTTGGGCACGCGGGTAGTATCACAGCCCTCACACATATCGAGTGAGATTTGTGTGGCGCACATGTATTTGGTGCCTCATCGTACCAATATCTATGTGTTAAAATAAATAAATAAATAATAAAAGTAGTGCCTGCTTTGTTCATAAATGTGTTTATGGTGATTTTTTAGATGGAGTAACGAATTGTTAACCCTATAGTTTTCATTTTTATATAATCCAAACAAATTATCGTCTACGCACTGACACTATTATGCATGATCCAAAAAAACAAAGATCCGATGAAAATGACATTAGATCCATATCACAAAGTTAACAAATCAAGCACATACTCGATATAAATGCATAATTGCTTGATTATCTATATTCCATATATCGAATGGAAATGTTTCTATAAAGTATTAGAAAAACATTCAACACAATAAATAACTATGAATTCGCATATTATAACTTTATAGTAAACAAATCTTAATAGACAATCTATTGATAATCCTATCTGTTAATTTTATAAGAATGTTATCTGTGATTTGATCATTTACAGTTGATTAGTTAATTCATTTAACAGTTATATATTTGTATTAGTAAAGCTTTTGTGGAGATTGTAGTAATTTCAATAGTTGAGATCATGAGTTATTTGAAACTAGACCACCATGAAAATGACTGCTTTGTGAATCCAGCAGTTAAGTAGTGTTGGTTTAGAATGTAAGTTCTAATTCGTAATGAATGAACGTTAAATACTTTTGGTGTTTGTTAACCTTCTAGAACTAAATAAATTGTAAAGGAATATCTTCGTTGTCAATCTAGACTATGTAATTGTGGATAACCTTGAATAAAGAAAGAGTTTAGTGTTAACCTAAAATTTTCAAATAATGTTTACTTACTTTCCTGCTTTACACATGCTAACTTAATCTTTAGTCATTTGATGAGACAATTTACCTTATTAATGTGTAAATTATTTCTTCATGGATTTCAACTGATTATAGTAGTTGGTGAAACTTTAATCATTCTGGTCACAGGACCGACGTGCCTTTATTGGGAATATGGATAGGAACAACTTCAGTAACAGTAACAATTAATTAAGGTAACTTAATTCAATACTTTGAAAATTCTGTCATATTTTCTCATTTTTGAATTATCGATGGCATGACTGATTTTTCTACTAAACCATCAAGGTCATCTGCGTCACAAGTCAAGCCCTCACATGGAATCCTCAAGGCCAAAGAAAAAGAGGAAGACCAAAGAACACATTACGCCGAGAATTGGAGATAGACATGAGAAAAATGAACAAGAATTGGATGGAACTAGAAAAGAAGGCCGAGGACAGAGTGGGTTGGAGAATGCTGGTCAGCGGCCTATGCTCCATTGGGAGTAACAGGCGTAAGTAAGTAAGTAAGTAATCAAGGTCATGAGATGTAACCTAATCAAATTCATGTATTTTTAATACGAAGAAATGTCCTGTGGCTAGTTAGCAAATATCAGTCTTATATTGTTTATTTCTTTTTCTTTTTGGTACACAACTAATGAAATAATTTGATACTCTATGTCAAATTTTCAATTTGTATGAAAGCTTGATGATTATCATTCTAAAGATAAACTATTTTAAACTGAAACACTGTGTTCTAGGACTTCTGTTATTATACAATTTCTGAGAAGCAAACGAATGTAATTACATCATACTTACGAATCATTCAGTTGACATATAACTTTTTAATTCGTTATAAAATAACTGATTATCTTTAGTTTATGGCTACCTAATCAATAGGCGTATGACCTAGTGACAAATGCTCTTGAAAATCAACCTATTCAAATAATTTCTTTAAATAAATATATATTGAAAGGCTGTACAACTAGACAGTAGATGAACTTATTTCTACTTAATATAACACATTTAAAAATAAAATATAGGACACAATATACATGCTACTAGAATTCATGTCAAATATATTTCAGTTAAATTACTTATTCAAAGAATAACACTGAAATATACGATCATATTTCACTGTTGTGATCGTACAAATGGTTCTGTGAGATCTCACTAATCGAAAATTATTTCCAAGAACAACTGATATTCATTACCTGAACGTTATAGAATCGGTTATATAACGAAAAAAATTAAACTACAATTATATCAACATGTATGTTTTACAAATTAAATTGATCTGAGCAAAACACTTAAAACTAAACTATAACCGTCAACGCACAAGTACATTACATAATGATAAGCCTTAAACAAAGTCCTGACCGATGGAATCCAAACATTTTATTAATGAATTATCCCCACCAGTTACATTGGATAATTGTCACAGAGTGTTGCTTAATTGCTTTTAATCATTAAACATTCACCGTAGAGACTTTAGGTCCTAGATCTGATCTTATGTAACCTCATGATTGTTCAGTACTAGGATATCTAATACTGAACAGAGTTTTTAGCATTACATTAAATGAGATCAGTCTATGATGAATACAACGTACAAATTAAAATAATCTACATTAAATCCCTACAAATTCTAATCTTTGTTTTAATTTCTCTTCTTATAATTTACTAATTTGAATTTATCATTTAATAACTCATTAGGTTTATACATAGTCAACAATATCATATGATGTTTTATTTAAATACAAAGAAGCTTAATTAATTATTTACTTAGATTAACGTTTTCTTTGATTACCAATATGTGTATAGTAGGTGATAAGTTAGTTTTCCAGTAGAAATATACATAAGATCAATTGTAGCTGTATTTGATAAAACATTTCATTAAATAACATATTCATAAAACCCAAATGGTTAGAAGCTATCCTTAATTGTCATTATCATTAACAAAAAATTTTGTTCTATATATGATAGAAAGTGGTGAAAATTGTATTTGACTCAGGAAATTTTGTCTAGGCAGAATAATATTATTATTATTATTGATTCATTTGTAATGGTTGCCTGAATCTTTCTGGCATATATGTATTCTGTGCAAATTACCTCAATGTTGCCATTAAGTAACAAACACTTGGAGAAGAGTTGTATGGTGGCTAGCAGAGTAATCTAAGACGCTAGTGAAACTAGCCGGCTACCCAAAAACAGTTAGATAGCGCATATCAAAAGAGTTTTTGTGGATATTATAGTAATTTCAATGATTGAGATAATTAGTCACTTGAATCTAGACCACCATGGAAAACCTGGAAACACTGAACTGCCGTTTCGTCCTGCTGTGGGACTCCTCAGCAGTGCGCATCCACGATCCCGCCTCGTGAGATTCAAACCCAGGACCTATCAGATAGAGCATAATTGTAACCTGTGATAAGGTGATTGAAAATCTAGTGTCTTAACATCTAAGCTAACATCTTAGAAAGCCACGACATTGTTATTTGATTGCCATCAATCGTCTAATTGAAGTTATTCGAAACAGTGCGTGATGATCTTGGTGATCATATTTGCAACTAACTGTGAACATGATAACATATAACTTAGAATCAAAACTGTTTTACATTTTAATTGAGTTTTATTTCTATTTTGAGACCTAACTATTTGAGATAAAAAAAAAGAAAACTCATTAGTGTATTCAATTTAAACAAAAAAATAGTTTAGCTTTCATACGATATTCATATTAATCTTTTCGTAAAACTTTTTATTTAAAAGTCACTGAATGAAATCCCTATTATCTACAGCTATTTCATATAATTGTTTCAAAATTAAATCACAATTGATTGATCACTGGGTGGTGATCAATGTCATGCTTGTCTAGTCCTTATTAGTGCAGATCGAATGCTATCGATCATGTTGCAATGTGGCCACCAGTCTAGGTGACTCGACACTGCGGGCACTATGTATTGAGATCTGCACTAATGAGGACTAGACAAGCATGACATTGATCACCACCTAGTGATCAATCAATTGTGATTACATCTCAGTCCTACAGGAGGTTAGTCACGGCTCGGATAGCTCAGTGGTAACGTCTCTGACCGTGAAGCTGGGTGACACGAGATCGAATCCGCCAGGGAGCACCAGTTTCCTCAAGATTACAGGTACACCTTGCTGACGAGTGCCAAGTTGCACGAAACCCGGCTCCAGTCTTTCCTGTTGACTACTTCCAACCACCATTTAAATCAAAACTAAATGAAGCTTGTTTACTAAAAACAAACCACTAAAAATATTATACTTTTGATATTATACCAAACATATTCCAGCTTATTTTTGATACTGTGAACAAGAGGGCATCATACACTTTAGATTAAATGTAATTCTTTTTAAAGAAAACAATCTATGTCACAATCGGAAAACGTAGGCATTAAAACAGTTAGTTTAATAAATTGAATAGATACTTATATTTATTCATTTAGAAAATAAGTGAAACAGTGTACTCTGTCAAAACAGATTTACACAATGCTTACAATATTAATTAACTATGTTTTTTTATATTCTTACTGTTTGATTTTCACTATTCATATTTAGTCATTTCAATAATGTAGAAGTCTAAATCATTTGAATAGCAAATGAATGATCTGATGAAGAATTTTTCATTGTAAGGATTAAAAGAACTGGGCTTGATAGTTGTCAACCCCGTGGTCGCCTAATGTGAAGAAGTTTCCTACTAAGATAAAAAGAAAACCATCTAGTCATTCTTAAGTTCTACCATACTGTAAAACCTACAAATCTGTCATTGTAGTTGATTGAAGTTTAGATTTTCCAACGTTTTTTCTGATAATTTTACTAATAAACTTAGTTGAGATTATGAGTCAGTTAAAGCTAGACCACCATGTTGGTCTGATATTAATAAACTTAGATTAGGTTTTTACTAAGACTTCACCAAAAGCTAAGCTAATTTATAAGTAAATATAAAAAATAACAGATATATCCTATTGACATCATTTTCAGTTGTTTTCATCTAATGTCAATGGATCAGTCATAGTTCAATTTAATCTGGTTAAATCATTTTTAAAGACAATGATAATATTTACACCATAAACATTCTTGAAATTCTTGACTCTTAGTTGTAATAGTAAAATGAACACAATCAATTCAATAAAAATAAACAAGCATATATAATTTGATGTTCTAACTAACCTATCTGATTCTACTTACAATTTATCATAAGATATGGAATGATTATGATGACAATGAATATTTTATCATTACCAAGAGTACAAAAATATATTTGTGGCTATTCTGATTAAGATAATAAAACACTCGGAAGAAAAATTATGCGGGTAATTCCAGGTTGTTTCTTCAAAGTGTCAACTATTTAACAGTAACCAAGCACAATCACTAACAAAAATATTGATGATCATGACTACAAAACAAACATAATACTCGTAGTAATTTGTAAATTTAAGCTAAAAAGAAAAAAACTATACAGTATTGTTTATTTATCAGCACTTCATCTTTTAACGTATTTAAAGCGTAATAATTATCATCTTATATAACAAACTATCAATTATCAACTAGATTATTCTATACAAATTAGAAATAGGCATCGTTTTTAGACCAACAGTACTTTATGTCTTTTATAGTTGGTCATCACTTTGTAAATCCAACTATACTACACTATTCTCAAGAGATATCATCAAATTTCACAAAATTATTATCCATTATTCTTTAAAAGAGAATAAGAAAAATGATTAGAACAGAATTATATAAATTTTATTTATTTTGTCAGGTTCTTTTTAACTACTTATAAGCAACTTACAATTAATTTAAAAATTGAATTTACCACAAAATTATTATATACTCTTAATAATGAAATTATTTCAATGTAAATATATGTTATCATCCAGGATAGAGTGGGCTATAAAATGCTGTTCGGTGGCCTGTGCTCCGTTGGGAGTAAGAGGTGTAGGTAAGTAAGTAAGTAAGTAAGTAAGTACGTGTTATCATAGTGGTGCAAAATTTGAATCAAAAATAAGATGAGATTTAAGCACAACAGAATAATGTTGTAAGTAGAAAGAATATTTACGAGAAGATTCTATAAAATAAAGAATAGTAACAGTAGGTTATAGAGCTAAGAAAATAATTGAATATGTGATACAAGAGATAAGCACAATATCATGGTAATTAGGAATACCATTAGTTGAAGTAAATTAATTCGAAAAAGAAAGTGAGAGAAACTAATCAATTGCAGTCCATCACATCAATAGGAAGATTCAAGTAAGCAATACAAATAAATTAATGTTGTAGGTTGGTTGTATGTAGTTGACGAGAATGAAATGAAAAAAAAAATCATATTATTTTGTTTCGTTTTATTTATATTATGAAGTTGGAACCTTCTTCGATTTCTACGTCATATAAAGTGTTTAACCATATCCTAATATATTCACTTGGTATCGCTTACTTGAATCTTCCCATTGATGTTTAGGACTGCAATTCACCAGTCTCTTACTGGTATATGTGCATACTATGAGTATTGCCTCGATATAGCCTTTATTCGCAATCATTATAAGCAAAGGTGGAAATGCGCGTCCTGGATCCCACTGCTAGCCACTATCCATCTTCGCTTATATCCTAATATAGTAAAATATCTGTTAGATAGAGGAAAACAAGTTGGAACAGATTACCTATTTGTCATCAGAAATCGTCATCAATCAGAGTACTTTTCTTAAAAAACCTAGGGATTCATCTATAAATGAAAGTAACTATAAAAATTCCATTTATACAACGGATTTCATTGGGATTTATACTTGTGACTGAATGTTCTTTTAGGTCTAATTAACTAAATCGTGTTTCTTTCAACTAATTTTGTTGAAGTGCACATGTTATAATCAATATCATGGCAAACTGGTTGCAATAAGTCATTTTTAGATACATTCATGAGAAAACGTACTTGACAATGATTATTAGTATAGACCTTATGGTCACGAGTAATTTGATTGATATATCATAAGTACAGTTGAATGATTATTATAATGACATTCTAAGTGTTAACATGAACATCAATGGTGATTAACAATCTGCTCATTACTTTTAATACAAATAGAAAAGTATGAAATGAAGAAGTTGTAGGAACTATTTAACTTGATGTTAGTTTTCGTAATGAACTTTTGTGGCCTGAGAAACCATTAAAAAATCAAGCAGTAGTGGATATGAATTTTCATCTCATTTGTAACTCCTCAGGATCCCCGACCTATCTCAGGTTTCGGGTACGACCTTTAGATCATATCACGAAGTTACAATTAGACAGTCACAATTGTTAAAGATCGCACAATACCACGAATTGACATATGTTTGAAATATAGGTCGTTTGATTCGAACTCAGTTGGTGGGATATATCTTGGTCACTATGAAATATGACATTTATGGATTTCATTTCATGTGACGTAATCAATACTCACATCTGAGAAACACCAAACTAGGACAAAATAAGTCTTCACTATTCCTTGGTGTTCTATGATTCTTTGAAGAATTCCACTTCGAGATAAAAGTTATTTTTGCAGACAACCAAAATTGACTTAGACAGAAGAAAATTACTTCGAAATCATGAAAATATCACCACAAAGCATCTGATTATATTCATAATTGAATATAGTTGTCTTGGTCTTATGAGACAATTTGACATGATGTTTGAGTTATTGTTCTACTGTTTAAATGACGAAAGATGATACATTTCTTTTTAATTTAAAACCATTTATAGTATCTTTTCACAAGTCCATTAGGAAATTCAATGTTTAGACAACAAAAAACTTTAGTATAAACAATTGTAAAATCAACATACTTTATCTCGTTTACCCTCTATTATCATTCAATATTATATCCACAGATGTTTTTTATACTTTAGTTATATTAAACAATCTAACAATCCATACCCAGATATAAACATTTTGGATACTCTTAAATCATTTATTTCAACAGAAAACAGGGAAGTAATAAAAATATTACCTTGTTTTTTGTAGAATCCATACGAATTAAGAACATAGTTAACAAACTTTTCCTAGAAAAGAAATAAGATTGTAAATAAATAGAATAATATTCAGTGTTTTGGAACAAGAATATTGTTGAATTCACTAGTCGATTAAAGCTGGACCACAATGGAAAACCTGGAAACACTGAACGGTCGTTTCGTTCTAGTATGGGACTCCTCACCATGGCGCATTCACGATCCAGCACGTGCGATTTGAACCCAGAACCTTCGGTCTTACGCCCGAGCCCCTAACCTGTAGACCACTGAGCCAGTAACCGACGGCCTTAATGTCTAACATTGAACAATCCACGACATTGCGCCGCCGTCCATCGTTGGTGAGCACAGCTGAGGAGCCCCGTATCAGGACGAAGCAGACGTCTAGTGTTTCCAGGTTTTCCATGATGATCTAGCTTTAATCGATCCATGAATTCAACTGCTAAATTACTACTATTGCCACAAAACTCCCTTTCTGATAAAAGAATAATAATTTAATATTAGCCAAAATTTATATGAAATCAGTATATCAACGTTTAGAGTAAGTATTTCTTAGGATTAATTACTTAAAAGGAAGTGTTTTTATTTAAAAATAGAAGTCCAAACAACATTCACATTTATTGGTTTGAAAACACTCGGGTATTGGTTAAGCGGTATTCATAATTGTTAACAATTTATATATTGAAATGAATAAAACAATATTGTCTTAACTAACTTTCTACTGTTTAGTAGTAATAGTTTTATTAAAGTAGTATTTAATAATATTCGGTTTTTTCATGTATTGAAAAATACAAATGTCTTACAATAATGAAGATGATTTCAGTTAAACATACTGAAAGTAATTCTTTCAAATAATCTCTTTTGACTCATGGGTGAATATATTGAAGAAAGGTTTACAAGATCTAAATAGCCAAGTGCTTATCTCAAATAAAAGACTTTAAATCTTATAGTATATGTAATTCCGTTCCCGAAAGTACGTTCTTTGACATCCAGATAAAGTCACAACACTTACTTTTACACAATCATCGTTATATGAAACGAGATTTACATTTATCTGCGTGCTAAACATCATTCATTCAACAGTGAGGTCAGCAACTAAACAAAGAATAACCGCGGTAATTTTCCATTATGCTACACTTTAGTGCGATTGATAAAATGACGTGTGTACACTATGACTTCGCATCTGTAGTCTTTTTATGAAAATATCAAAGAACGTTCCCATAAGATATTCAAACTACTGTCCTGCAGATGGTTTGGACACATATTTCAAGGGGTAAATGTGGATAGTTGGATTCCTTGTATCTAGTGAATTACAAGCAACGTCATTTATTTGATTCTCAAATCTGAGCGGAAAAAACTAGTCGCTTCATCTCTCATTTCTTTGGATGTTTTATAAACACTTTACCTTCACAATCTCGGATAATCATTTTTTCTAAATACTGAATATCTTACAGATAATTTATTATATTTTCTTCACTGATGAGACTAAAAGAGTATATACTTACTGAGACCTTGAGGTTGCTTTCTCAATCGTGACTGTTCCCTTCTCATAGTTGAACATTGACATGAAATTGACACCACAAAATCTGTTTAATTCATTACTTTAACCAAGTATTTTGTATTCACAAATTACATCACTGACTGGCCTTAGTTAGGCAACCATTGAGAACCAAGAACCACTGGACAGCTGTTTCGTCCTCGTAGGAAACTCCTCAACATGGCCTACTCACAACCCTAAAGTTTGTCTAACTCAGGTTATTCAAGCTTCGCAACAAGAGCTCCACCTTAGGACAAATGAGTTGGGATCCAATGGTGTACTTGTCTAACTTCTAGGTCGTAACTGTGCTTCTCTAGAGAGTCCCGTATTTGGTTGTTGAACCAAGGTCAGACCGTAACATAATCTATAAAACTATTTTATTCCTAAGCTTAATACAAATGTATTTTCCCAGGTGAGTGATGACAAGGAGAATTTTATACAACCACCATCTGGTTGCACCTTTTTTATAAACAGTAATGACCAGTTCCCGATTACTTGACAAATTAACTGGTTTGATATCACTTTTGCATTGAATCTAAAGGTATTTTATGAACAAACATCCTATTAAAACCTAATTAAAAAACATGATGTTTTCTAATCACATATACCAAAATAAATAGACAACTGTGTCATGCGAAAAGCATGTTTATAAAATAAGGAGAAATGACCGGAAATTGACAATTTACGTACAGTCCTGCATTTTCAGTATATTAAATAACCAAAATCCTGTTCACGAATCCAAATTAGAGTAGTAATTAGTGTCATGCTGCTTAGTTCTTATTGTTAATAGAAATTCACCATTCCTGTTTGTTACTTAGCCTTAAATTCAGGTTTCCTATTGGTTCACATCCATCAGTGATGCGTACTTGTAATACTATAAGTAGTTAGTGTTTAGTATTTGATTTGAAGCCGAATAACCTAATACTGCAATTTGAAACATTATCCCTGGTCAACAATCTGAATGACTGGGATATTTACACTAACTGATTTTTAGGCAGTGCTTAGTTTTTCTTAATCTTGATCAAATGTTATCTAACAAATTCATTGATCCAAGAAAAGTTAAATGAGTTACGTTTCTATTGACTACCAGATGGTTGGACCGGGAAAGTGATTTCATAAATTTTAAAATGAGGAAGTTCATTTCTTAGTAGTACTGAAAGTTTAACTAAGTAGAATGAATGAACTAACCGACAAACGGACACAAAGCAAATTATGGTAATTCAATTACTAGTAATTCGAATGTAACAGATGTATTCACTGTCAACTGCAATGAAATATATTCCTGGCATATTTTTCGAATATGAATCACAGATGATGCTGAAAACAGGTTATATGAGGTTTAATATCCAAAGTTAAACAAATCCAAATCTATATCTTGTCTAGTTTAACTGACGTAAATTACTTACTTACGCCTGTTACTCCTCGTGGAGGAGCATAGGCCACCCACCACACTCTCCATCTGACCCTGCCCTGGGAAGTTTTTTTCAGGTGTTATTCATCCTTTTCATATCTGCTTCTATTTCTCGACGCCTATAGCTCTTCTAGAGTTACCGCCGGTCTCAAGTTCGGGTAAAGGAGGAGGGTTGGGCATGGTCTCAGCTACCCTATCCCGTAGAAAACGAACTCGCTAAAAAAACACTAACGCTAAAAACCCTAACTGACTCAAAGTTATGTCTAAATAATCACAATAAATACAAAAACATTTTTAAGAGTGTTTCAAAATGGTTACATCAATAAAAGACTGTAAACCAGTTATTAAATTGCGATCATTCACTTAAGTTTAGATAATCATATACAGTTGAAATTTCTATCAAATAAGGTATTCATTTAGTCTGTAAAGTATGGAAGGGCAAATATTAATCTTAATTAATAACATTCATCATATGAATGCATCAGACAGAATTAACTGTTAATCAGGGATACATAAATGTTTAAAATAAAATTAAACAAAACAACAATTATCAAATAAAGTTTTTTATCTGTTACCGGTTGTAGCGAATACGTTGTCTTGCCTAATAATAGTTCCTCTAAACGTGCAACACGTGTTGGCAGTAATGGTTTTGGATTCAAGTTTTCGAACATATCAACTATTTCTTTGTTATGAGTTGCTCATAAAATTATTATAAGCATTCATATACTGCAATCTACATAAGTAAAGTCTGTACACATGCATAGTATTAATTCAGTTTAATTTTTTTTAGAAATCAGCTGTTTACTGACCTTAATTTTGAGTCACCATAGTGAAGATAAATAACTGCGTATTTATTGGTTGATTTATTTTATTGTTTTATGCACATATTTGTATGTAGATCAATAAGCATAAATAATCGATAAAAATTAGTAAACAAAATTTTAGGCTGAAACGTAAATCGTCCACCAGATCAGATGTGGTATGATAAAATTAAATCTAAGGAGTAGGACTGATAACACCATTCATTTACTGTAAGACTGTACAATGTGACTACAATCATATAAAAAGTATCAGTACGCCAAAAATTCTGAATAAGCCTTGATAGAGTGCAGTAATGTAGAGCTTAGGTTCTTTACTGATAGCCTACAACTAACTAAAATCTAAAGTGGAAGGTGTATGATAATTATTGATGTCCAGGTTTTATGATTGAGGGTCTAGATATTTAACCATACATTTATATTTATAATCGCAACCGTTGAAAAGCTACACATTCTTAATCATTCAAAGTATAAACTAAAATGATTAGGTTTTTCATTTCATTCATTAGAACTGGTTACATCTAGTCAAGATCAATTAATTATTGAACTATATTGTCTGTAGAGAGGCTTAGAAAATTTATTTTGGGAAAGCGTTAATATGATGACGTCTAACAACCCAAATTGCTAAAAATTCCAAAACCAAAGGACTTTAATCCTATTTTAAATAAAGGATTAATCAGCACAAATGTCTTAGTGCATAAACCCAAATGAATACACAATATACACTAGCATAACAATATTACAGTGTAACAGTTGTACGGTGTAACGTCAGAGTGATTTTCTTTGGATTCTCTTCGCATTATAATGAAAGAAGTATAACTGTTGTAGACTATATGTTATGTCTTACTTACTTACTTACTTACGCCTGTTACTCCCAATGGAGCATAGGCCGCCGATCAGCATTCTCCAATTCACTCTGTCCTCGGCCTTCTTTTCTAGTTCCATCCAATTCTTGTTCATTTTTCTCATGTCTATCTCCATTTCCCGGCGTAATGTGTTCTTTGGTCTTCCTCTTTTTCTTTGGCCTTGAGGATTCCATGTGAGGGCTTGTCTTGTGACGCAGTTGGGTGCTTTCCTCAATGTGTGTCCTATATATGTTATGTCTATTAACAACATATTGTCATTGACCATGAAAGTTAGTAAAGCTTGAATAAATAAATATTTAACACAATTCATGTTTCTTTACTGAAATTGACGTTCACCAAATTGTATGGGTATTGAATAGAAATTTTTTAATAAAGGAATTTATACGATCAGGTTTTTTTTCACTAACTGGTATTGCGTACTTCTTACGTACGAGAATCAGTGGAAAATCCTAGGTAATTACGGTTTAAAAGTAACCTAGTAGATATCTCAGTATCCAGGATTGAAGAAAAATACAAAACCCTAAGCTAATTAGTCATAAGTTGAAAGTTGTATCCGCTTATGTTCTGGGATTTTTTATAGCTTCAATGGTCATGCTTATGCAGTCACTGTCAAGAAAGTCCTACTCACTACCTTCTCGAGTAGGGGGTATTGTTAAAGAAATTGAGAAGACGAAAAGCAAATGTTCATTGCTTTAACCGGGTTGGTTAGATATGGAGAATCAACCTTGGGGAGTCGGAAAACTCTGATTCCGAATCAGTAATGCATATGAGCTCCAGTATCCTGAGGAAACAATTGGTGTATGAAATTATTGTTTTCCACATGTTACTATGAGACTTCATCTAAAACGTTGCTCTACTGCCTTGTGGATTAGACTTTTAGATGAAAGGCCCAGGGAGTGGCACCCTATAAGAACCATTTGCTTCGACTTGGGCACCCGGGCAGTATTATTATACTGTACAATCAATTTGATAATTATCAAATATTCGTAAAATTATCTACTGGAATGATTTCATTCACATTAATATTGTTCATTTAAACCACGTGAAGCAAGTATTAATTTTTTAACCAAAATTAAATAAAGACTTATAAACTCAAAAGAATATACATTTTCATCAATTGAAGAATTTTATATTCTCAGAAGGGGGTTATTGTAGAGATTGTAGTAATTTGATTAGTTGGATGCGCACTGTTGAGGAGTCACCTACTAGGACGAAATAGCTGTCCAGTGCTTTCAGGCTTTCCATGGTTGTTAAGCTTTAATTGACTGATGAACTGAACTATTAAATTTTATATTCTAACATTTTTAAGGTGAATTTCTTTTAGTAATTTCACTTAACCGTTTTGTTTTCAGATTTTGTTTAGCTTAGTTTGTTTATCCAATTGTTGAACTCTTATTTAAACATTACTAAATAATTTGTTTTCTTTACTTATAGGTCCTGAGTTCGAATCCTGCCAGCGGGACCGTGAATGCGCACTGCTGAGGAGTCTTACAATAAGACGAAACGGCCGTCCAGTGCTTCCAAGTTTTTCATGATGTTCTAGCTTCAATTGACTCATGGTCTCAACTATTGAGATTACTTTCTTGTAAATAATTTAAAATTGAACATGTCAATAACTTTCAGTGAATGTGTACAATTTCTATTAAGTGTCTCAAATATACTTAAATCATTCTACTACAGATTTTTATTCCATGTAATGGGAATCTTCATCATTTTGTTTCATTACATAAATAATCGTTAAATATTTAGAGTATGCAGGCTATGTGCTTGAATATCTGGGCTACCTGTTCCTACCATCTGGATATTTCAACAAGTTATCTGTTTTCTTGTTTGTTTTAACACATCATTATGCCTATTAGTCTCATAACTTATTCTGGTGTATTTGTCAAAAGTTTACTATAATTCACTGTATAAGTTACAAAAAAGCCCATTCAGAGACATCATGGCTGCTGGCAATATGCGTCAAAAAGAATATACATTATTCAGATGTCAATTCCTGAACAACTAACATCTAACTGGCAAACACTCAAGAAATAAGAAAAGGAAACTTGTTGAAGTGCTTTGTTCTGAGAATTATATATTCTACCAAAAATGTAATACTGAATAAAGCCAATAATAATAACTAGTGTATTGTGATTTATGGTTTCCAGTAGCCAGTACGAGTTATCTGGTGTTACAGCAAGTACTGGTGTATTTTGAGGGAGAGGGTTAAATAATGTTCATTTGTATTAACTTTTCCGTTCCTCTGTTTTTATGAAAATTACAGTGAATTTCACTTTCAAGTAATTTATTTTTCTAACAGTTTCGTTGTTAGATGCTCGAATAACCTTAGTTTTGATAAATTATCTACAGTTTTAGTTAGATTTTATGCACAATTATCAGCTTTTAAGCATCCAAAATTGATGACATACACTTTACTTAAATAGTTGTAATCAAAGATATCTTTTCAACAACTGATCTGATGAATTAGTTTTGTATGTTTGGAAAGTTAATTGAGATGTTTACTTCAACTTCATAACGAATGTTTACTTTGTTAACTTTTCAGAATCTTTTACTTTGTATAAGAATGATTTCCGAATCATTATTTCCTATCTGAGTTTGTTCAATGTTTGAATAAATCATTGCGTCAAACTAACAGTTAATGTTATGATGTCAACTGCAGATATAAAACACTTTAATTGAAAGACTTAAAAATAAATAGAAGTAATGATTGATTTTAAAATTGTGGCAGAGAAAAATCAGCTCTAATAAATGTTTTATTATATTATTGAGCAACTATGAATGACATGTTGATTGGATTCAAAGAAACACTGATCTGATAGGGAGAAAAATAGGTATGAAATGATTATTAACACTGACTATATTAATATAAACAAAACATAAAATATACATTTTATTGAGTATTAAGAAATAAAACATTTCACGGTGAGACTATAATTTATGGACAACCTTTGAGTAACGTTGAAGTGACCTTCGGAATATCCATTTACTTACTGGAGCTAAATGAGGGTTAAAAAACAGTGGGAAGAATGTATGTATGTATTACAATTGATGGTTAGGAGGTTAGAAATTAGATTTATGGATTTCATCACGAATTTACATCAGCCAAAATGCCAAAACACTATTTAAACAAATGAGTGAATGAATTTCGCTCCAAAATTCAAGGCTCGCTATGTTATATCTGATTGGTTCGTCTATAGATTTTAGTCTTGCCCAGTTGATCATTATCAATAATTCTTCTGCACTTTTAAAATCATGATACATAATAAATATGACGGTTGATTTTTCATGTTTGAGTAACTGTTAGGTTTGAAGCTGACACGAGTTCACTTGGTTTGCGAACGAGAACAAAGACTCAGTGACCAAGACCAGTAAGCTAGCTATTGATGAGTCCCAGCCCCGCTAACTAGAAGGAGAAGTCCAAGCTTGGAATGGGAAAGTATATTCTGCAAACAGCCAGAAAGAAACATAATTCAAAACACATATATACAGTGCAAAACCGTCCTTGAGGAGAGTTATCAAACACCATACTAAAAGACACAACGGATCAATAGCATTTAAGATACTTCTCAGTGGGAAATACGACATGAAGATGACAAGAGTGCCTTTGGCGCGAAAACAAAGAAATTCAAAATTTCTAAATAAAATTAAAAAATTAGGTCCTTTCTCAAGTGAGTTCTGGGGGTCTGACGTCCCCAAAAGTAACATTCATAAAAAATTTTTGTCAATAAATTCCTAATTTATTGAATTTCTAGTTGTAAGTTGTAGATTTTAAAAGAAATCCTATTGAAACTAATACTGATAACTTGAATGATATTTATTTGTTCTTTCTTTTATAAACCGTTCCTTGAAACTTTCCGGTATAATTAATGAAATAATCAAATTTCAATGATTAAAATTTACTAAGCCAGGGAATTATCTACATTACCAACTGACATCAAAGATCTAATCCCGTTTTTCTGTTGTTCAGATCGAATAATCATTTGATTTGTTTTATGGTGCAAAACTATTATCATTCACGTCATAAATACACTTATAAAAATAACT